TCAGCTCGGCGAGCATCCAGCCTGTCTGAACAGCAACAACAGGAGACAGAAAGGCGATCTCTGCATTCACCGTATGGAGCTATGTCTCTGCCAGGGAGTAAAGCCTATCCAACTTATTCTGAAAGCACTGGTGTTGGGGTTAAGGATAAGGGACCTCAAACAAAGTCCCGCATTGAAGAGGAGCTTCGGACTCATGGAAAGACGACTATGACAGCCGCCAATTTCATTGATGTCATTATCAAACGTCAGATAGCCTCGGACAAAGACTTGCGAGAGCGAGGCTCCCAGAGCTTGGATTCATCTAGCAGCTGTGAGTGTATTGGATTAAAAAAGAGAACTATTCAAGCTTCACATAAATGCTCTGTGATACCGTAACATCCGCAGTTGCATGAAAGGATAGGTGTACATAGAACAGTACATCTCATGAGTAGTAGAGCCTGACCAATATATTGGTAGGGCTGATATGTAGGCAAATATTGGCTATTTTCCTACATATCAGTATCTGCAGCCGATAAATTAAAATTTAAAAAGAGATAGGAGAAATGCCCTTCAACAGTGTTGGCGTTGCAAAGTTTAGGAGAAGGAACTTTCCAACTGCCCTGTTGGCAACAAGTGTTTGGAATGCTACAGACACCACAAGTAGCAGATCCAAGCAGAGTCAAGCAGAGCGTAGAAGAGCAATCATTGTCACAGCATATTAGGCCCCTCCATAGTGTACTGGTTAATACATTTGCTTCGCAAGCAAAACGTTGTTGGTTCAAATCCAGCCAGACACACTGATCCCCTTTAGGTTTACCTCAGGGAAGGGCATCAAACAAACTTGCAGCGCTACTGACTGTAACAACCTCTTGTGATTAGTAAGAAGCTGAAAGTAGCCTTATTGTCATATTATCTTAAGGACTCAAAAAGACACATACGTTTGTGTTAAGTTAATGTTCATTGTTTTTTTTCTTTAACTCACCAAATATTGCTATCAGTTTGGCTTCAGTCAACAGTAACTCTTTGTCCATACTTGTCCCACAGTGACATCCAGTCGCTATGACAACACTGGTGGTGGAGCAATTGAGGTGATCAGTCCAGCTAGTTCCCCTGTCCAGCCTCAGCAGGACAAACCAGAAGATGTGCAACAACAGGCATCGGGTATGAACATCCTAACTTTGGGGATATTCCTTTTTTTATTTAAACCAGAGTGATTTTACTAATATTCAAATATAATTCAAGTTATATTAAAGATATTCATACAATGGATTTTTTTAATGCAGTTAAACTCTGTCACACAATCGCATACCAACTGGTGCATTGGGGAATTTACAGTATCTTATCCTAAAACTCTTCAACTCAGACCACTAATCTTCTGGTTAGAGAACGATACCCTTGATTACTTGTTGGGGGGTTGTTGAAGATTTGGCATGAAAGGCTAAAATTAGCTGTGCTGAGTAAACATGCCATACCTTGAATGGCTTCACCGACTAACCTTGTGATTTGAGACTGTCTAGTCCCCAGACTGCACTCAAAAGTTATTTTTGTTACCTGAAAGCAGATGTGGATCATTTACTTTTGGCATAGTCTTTTGGAGTCTTGCCATCTCATCACTTCTCACTTCACCATGGCTCTCTCTAAAACAACTCTGCTCTGTCCCTGGTTAACCTTTCGCAGTTGGCATGCGATCTTATGACATGAGTCGATACCAGCAATCAGGGGAGCCACCACAGTCCAGTTCCCAGCAACTTTCCTCCTCCCAGGCTGACAGCTACTCACAGGTCCCCAAAACTCATCGAGTCATGACCTTGGCAGACCACATTTCGGTAAGAAATGCTGGAGAGCACAATGGCCTGCAACATCAAAAATAATGCAGCACATAGGAATTTACCATGTGCACCAGGTAATCACAGCTAGCTAACTTGGTTTTGTGGTAACTCCCTGTAATGCAGCACATCATAACACAGGATTTTGCCAGGAATAAGGACCCTCCTCCAGTCTCCTCTTCAGCCTCTGCTGCATTCCAGAGCGTTGTGCCACCTGTGTCCTCTTCAGGTCGAGGCAAAATGCCCAGTCGCTACAGTCCTGAGAATCAGGTGCAGGCCCAACACCACCAGAGACCCTCCAGCAGAGTTTCCCCAGAGAACGCCTCCGACAAGCCCAGAGCCAGGTACTGAATGCCTGAATTAATTAGAATAAAACCAATTTATTTTCTGCCATCTGACAAAAATTTGATCTCTTTCTCCTCTTCAGGCCTGGCAAGTCTCCAGAGCGAGGAGGCAGGCCGATGGAGAACTATGAACCCATCTCTCCACCACAGAGCTACCAAGGCATGGACAAACAGGAGTCAGGTGGACCTCCACCCCAGCGGCGAGAGGGTGACAGCTCAGAGATTAGGTACAGGAGCGGCTCAGCTTGTTTGTTTGATAATTTGATTTTATAATGATTCAGATTTAGTTTTGATGTTTTTGAAGGTTTGTGTCACTGTTTTGTCTGACTCCTTGTGTCTTTTTTTGGTTCAAGGAGTGACTCACGGTCCCCAGGGAGTGTTGGCTATCTGCCTTCCTTCTTCACCAAGCTGGAGAACACCTCACCAATGGTGAAATCGAAGAAGCAGGAGATCTTTCGTAAGTTGAACTCCACCTCTGGTGTTGGTGATTCTGATGTTGGTAAGTGGGTATTCTCTTATCCTATGTTAACCTAAATTCTTCTAGCTCTTTATGCATGTGAATTATTAAAGCGTTTTGAACTCGGTTTCTTCTAAACCAGCTTTTTTTTCACCAGTATTAATTGTCTTGCAGGAAACGCACAACCAGGAACAGAGATTTTCAACCTGCCTGCGGTTACCAGCTCCAGTAAGTAGCAGCATATTTTGTTCAGACACACTGTGTATTTATGCTGATTCTCTCTCACTGTATTGTGCGTGTGTGTGTCTGTGATATGATTTTTAGGCAGCATCAACCCCAGGAATCACTCCTTTAGTGACCCAGCCAGTAATCTGGGTCTGGAAGACATCATCCGCAAGGCCTTAATGGGCAATTTGGAGGACAGACAGGAGGACCAACAGGGTGGTGTAACATCCAACACTGGCAGTGACCCTCGGCAGGAGGCCAGTCCATCTCCCAGCATGGGTAAGCAGGAATACCCCCGCTATTGTAGTCAACTTTGTGCCCTTTCTGAAGGACTGTGGAACATGTTGATTTACCTCTACCTCTTTGAATTCAGGTAAGCAGAAGCAGGGAAAAGCCAACAGCCGGAAATCCAAGTCTCCTAACCTGGGTCAGGTCTACGGTGGAGGGGAGCGCCCCTCATCAGTGTCCTCCGTCCACTCTGAAGGAGACTATCACAGACAAGCCCAATCCCAGTGGAGCTGGGATGACCGACCCTCTTCCACAGGTGCACTGTCCAGTCTCTACTGTCACTTTACTGTTTTCTACTCATAGATCTTAAATGATTCTATTCCAGAGTAAGCTCAACCTATTAAGCAGCAACCTTATTTTTTCTTTTCCTTCCTGATGGTTACTTCCCAGCTAGATTGTTAGTTAGCTTGTTATTGTGGGGGCCCTCAGTATCATTCAGCTGCTTCTCTAGGTGGTGGGCTGTCTTTTTTTATAGACTCCACAGTCTTGGACACCAGTTGGTGACAACCTTTTACTGCTCTCGACATCTAAGCAGAACCTGCAGCAGGTGGAGAACTAGTTCTTGTGCATGCTGAAAAAAACAGAATAATGAATTAATTGTTAATTCATTGTTAATGAGTTCTTCAACAAATTCTGAAAGTCTTCCCCTGGCTCCTCGCTTCCTGCTGCGCCAAAACCAGCTGACTGACACTCAGTTTCATTTCCTCATTCATAAAGTTGCTGTGAAAGGTGCAATTGAAAAGTTTCATTTGCAGAGATCTTTGGTAGAGTTTGTGGTAGAAACTAAAGTCATGTTTATTTGCTATTTTTTGTATGTAACACGACTGCGTTCACAGTTATTTAGTCGTCACTATTATAAAGATAAAGACCAAGATTACATCTCAGATGTATGGTCAGCTCAGAATAAAATCTGTAGTCTCAATTTTTCTAACTGTGTGGACAGAAATGCAGCTATAAGAGTGTCATGCAATTTTTCTGAAACATTAAATGTATTTTAAAGTGACTTTTTAAATGCAGTTGCAGAAACTCTAATTGTGTTCTGACTACATTTCATGTTGAAATCTGTTCACAGACACATTACATGATGTGAAACAACATTTTGAAGTACACTGTGTGAAATCCAAACTTAAACTCACCTTAATCTGAAAATCACCTTAATCAGGTCTCCCAGAACTGGATCCATGTCATAAATTCCATAACGGATCAAAGCAGCTCAGTAGACCATGTTTGGGTTTCAGTTAACTAGCATGGCCGGATTTAAAACTGATAAATTCTTAGTGGTTTATTTTGTCCTTACATGATCTGTATTTCATATTTAAAATGTGTCATCCTACCAAAATTACCGTACATGTAAAGTTTATGTAACTAAAGTGTTAAATGTAAAACGCCAGCTCTGGTCAGCCTTTCCTGAATCAGAAACTCGGACATCAGCTCAGGGTTTATGGTTTGACTCGGAGTTTGTTGAACCTGCTTCCTGGAATATGGCCCTGGCATCATTTCATCTACATTTTGCCCACTCGTGTTGTTTTCCTTTTTCCACAGGACCCATCCAGTTCCCATACAACCCGCTGACTATGCGCATACTGAGCAACACACCACCCACTTCCATAGCGTCACCCTCCATACAGAGCCAGCAGCAGCAGCTGCAGCAGAATCCAGCTGGAGCCCCTGGCCAGCGGCGAGAGTGGCAGTCTTTGCTGTCGGAGCAATACGAGACCCTGTCTGATAGTGACGACTGAGCCCCGCTTGCTTACAGCTTTATTAACCAGAAGAGAGGCCTGCTCTTTGGCTTGTCTGTTCACGCCCCTCTCCTGGAACTAACCTCGCTCACTGGGGAGTGCAACATGTAGATGGGGTGTTGTCCTTTTTATTTTTGGTGCTATGGCGCCCCCTGGCTGTTGGCTGAGAGTACGAGCAGCAGCCTGTGACAGGAAGGGTTCTCCTGGACGTCGCTTGCTTTTGGTCCAGAAGCACTCGTCCAGCCTGTTGTGGTGGGGGAAAAAACAAACAAAACTCAGCTTGAGGTGATGACATGAGATGCAGGAAAGATAAAGAACTTAATATGTAAAAAAAAAGACAACAGAAGAAACTATTTCTGAATTTTGTTTGATTTCTGTAAAGATATACCTTGTCTTTAAGAAGATCATTGTATGTAAATAGAGTAACCTTTTGCAGTGTTTTTCTTAACTTGATTATTTCTTATTTTAATGTCGCTTTTAAATTGATCCACTTTAAATGGAAAGAGTGTGGGGTGCGTTCTTTAATAACACAGTTGGTCTTGTGTAGTCCAACATCTCCCACCCCTCCAAACCCTGTCACCCAGCACACACACAAACAAATACTTTTACCATTGCAACGGTAAGAGAGAGAGAGAGAGAGAGACCGGACCTGTGGTTTGTACTTGACCATGAGCAGAGCACAGAGACTGTGCCACCCTGCGCACCATCCACCAAGCACCACCAGAGCCTGAACGTTGCGGACATTAGAGGAGAACAGACTAACATTTCAAACAGCATTGGTATCTGATAACTGTCTTTATCACACAGCGGAGATGATGCATGGATTGTAAGCGTTGGATGGTAGTGATAACCGCTCACCCTAGACAGAGAAATGTCTTCAAAACAAGTTGAGAACACTGGTGTCATAGCAGAGAGACGAAAAGTCTGATATAAGCTTAATTTCGCCAGAAATTATATCATTATGACTACTCCTGGACCCCGACTGAATAATGAAAGTGAGCCAATATGTTTTTTGTTTTTTTTTCCTTCTTCTTCAAAAGAGCTATGTGATGTGTCACATGTAGCTGTCTCTTTGCAGTTTCCAAACTGTCCAGAATGATTTGTTCTGCAATGTCGTCATGGTTTAAAAAGAAAAAAAATGTCAGGAAGTTGTTTTTTTTTAATGCTTTTGCCATGCCTTGTGACTTGAGAAAGAAGGCAGCTTTAACTAATTTTCTCAGAGATATACGTTTGTGTTTAATGTTTGTATTTGTTTCTGTAGTCCCTCTTTTTTTTAATTATACTGTCCTGACAAAAATCTGAACTCTGTAAATTGTCTTTCTATTACACACAAAGACAAAACTAACCAAACTTAAAAAATGGTCTGCACCATTGTTGCACTTTTTCCTTTTCTTTTTCTTTCTTTTTTTTTTTTGCTTTGTAGCATTTGACAACAAAAAGCATACTACCTGCTGTGTAACTTATTCATCCTCCAGCCTTGGAGTATACTAAAATGTGCTTTAACTTTTCCTACTACTCACAGAAATTTGCCCCGATTTTTTTTCTTCCTTGTAGCTGGTACAGGAATCTTTTTGTTTAGTGTCACACTTGCATCACAATTGCAGTTTGAACTGTATGGTACCATTACATGTTTAGGCATTTGATGTCATGAAGATTCAAATCCATGACCACTTAATCTCTGCTTTCATTGTGTCACACAACAGGCATAAAGCTTTGAATATGAATTATACTAGGTCAACTATAATACACAGCAGTAAACTTTGTTTTAGATATGTGGAAAAAAATATTTTGGCTTTTTCAGCTTTCACTCTGCTCAGTTAACAAACCCATTCTGCTCTAAACTTGATATTTCCTTTGTTGTTGCTTTTTCTTTCATTTTTTTGATTTAAAATTGTCGTAGCACATGTTCAGATTTTTATTTTCTGTCATTTTTTTTTCTTCAACATCTTTGCTAATTCATCCCGTTTAGATGGGGTGTTATGTGTTTACAAATGCAATGACAAAAAGAAAAAAAAGTTTACAAACTTGAATCTTAAAGAAATCCGACATGAAGCCGAAAAAATATTGGAGCATCTTTTCAGCTCTCTATCAGACACACAGTGGTGTTTTTGGGTTTTTTTGCTCTTTGTTTGTTTTTTTTTTTTGTTTTTTTGGAATTGAGACTTGAAAACCCGTGTAACCTATGATGTTGAAATGCAATGTTTGTATCGCACAATGTCTCTCAGTAGGCTATTACAAGAGTTCAGACCAATCAAATAAAGTGGATCAGTTCACCACTGAAAAATGTGCCGATCCTTGAGACGTGTGCAGTTTTTTGTTTGTTTGGTTTTTTTCCCTTCTCTCTGGTTGTGCACTGGCAATTACACGCACTCTTTGACACATATTGCAATGATTTATTTGTCAGGTAATCCAGTATGAAATGGAAATTAATGCCAGTGATCCCTTGTAGGTAAAAGTTGGGCAAATGCAACAAATATATCAGCTATTAAGGATTCCCAGACTTAAATTGAAGGTGAGAAGGCAAAAATGTTAATTGAATTCCTACAAATTGAAAAATGAAATGTGTAATTAAAGCCGACACCAACACACCTGAGACTTTGGTAGTGCAGTTAAAAAAATGTTGTTCAATTACTGCTGCCTAATAATTCTGCAGCATTCTCTTATCAGCTCTTGTCAGTTTGACCTTTTAATCTACACATCTTAACATGGACTGTAGAAAAAGTTATGTATTGGCTGACTGCTTCTGTGTATTATTGCACTCAGTAAAGTTGATGGCCTTAAAGGAGGTCCCTGTGGTGACAGTTATAGACCCAGTGTGTTTGAAACCTTTAGCTGAGATGCCACAGTGGAAGTGTATAACAGGTCATTCTTGCAGTAGGGCTTCTTTTTATTCATGTGTGATTCACACACTGATTATTTGACCTGTGTTACCAGAAAAAGTGTAGGTTGTCTAATGAGATTTGTTTACAGATTTTTTGCAACCCATTGTGACAGAGCACGTTAAACACTAGGGTAGGCACAATAAATCTGTGTGTGTGTGTTTCACTGTGTCTGGTGTGAAATGAGTCTGTTTGACTACGGTACTTACTGCTTATACCAGAGCTAAATGTCCAATCGAAAAAAGCTTTGCCGATCTTATATCGTCTGCCAATAGCACACTGTTTTCTTATTGAATATCTAAATGACTTGAGCGTTTTAACCCATACGAAGAAAGGAAGTGGAAAGAGGTTTCAAGCTTCATGTACGCGGACGCGTTGAACTTATTTTCCTTTAATACGCCAAGTTTTTAAAAATCTATTTAAAAGAAAGAAAGAAAATGCCTGTGTGACATCGCAGATATTCATATAAGAACTCAAAAGCAGCCTTTTCTTCCAAATAATCTCCTCGAAACAGAAAAATGTGATCTACGTAGGAGTTTATTTTGGAGGAAAGCAAAACCACAGCAGGGTAACACGGGAAGTTGTAATATTTTCGTGGAACCTTATTGGCTGGAGCAGTCAAAGACATCCTGTAATAAGTGGTGCGAAAATGCGCTCGTTTTTACCTGCAGTGGCCGAACAACTATTCCAAGACATACAGAAAGCATACCAGGAGGCTTCTCAAAGTAAGATGAATATGACGAAGACAAAAGTCTGGACATGTTTCGGTTTAATTTAAACGTAGATTTAGCATTGCTAGCTAACTGTTAGTTAAAGCAGAATGTGACACGACTTTCATTCAAGGCGCACTCCACATATAATTTCCTCCTTTTCTGTGAGGACTAGTTAACTTCCAGTAACTGAAACGCAGCTGGCAGCGAGCTTTACTTTACCGTGCTTCACAGCAATGTCAATGTAGTAATTGTTGTGAAACCTCATAATTATGGCCCTGCTACTTAAAGTGATGCACTTTTACATTTTGGCAGTAGGAGGCGCTGTTATCACACACATAACTTTAGCCCCAAGCTTCCCTCCATAGATAAATTGCTACAGGTTTAAAGTTACATGAAGCTTTTTGACATGCCATAGTTTGATAAAGGCAGCTGCGTTGCAATACACACTTTATTCCTACCACAAAATGGACCTTCAGCCAAAAACCCCAAGCATCTATGGAATTATGGTCTGTTTGTCTGCGTATTTGACAGAAATCGGTCTTTCTTACCATTTCTAACTAAACAAAACATGTATATTAGACTGTGAGAAATTTACGTAATATTGGTTTTTGTTAGCCCACGATGCTATATAGAAATTATAATATATACAGCATATATATGTTATCATATATGCTGTAAATGAACAATATGTGAACCGTATCAACGTTTTGTGTATATTGTTCACATGGTCTAAGGAGCTTGGAAAGAAACGTGTCTAGACTTCTTTAATTTTCTTGAAGACGGTTCACCTCTCATCAGAGAAGCTTCTTCAGTTCTAGGGTCAAATGGTCGAGTACCAGATTTAAGCCATGTAGGAGTATCCCCCCACGAGGGACAATGGACCCACTAATGATCCTCTACCTAATCACATGAGCCAAGGTGTGAAAATGGGTGTAGGTCACAATCAGCCAAGGTTTCGGGTGAGCTCATTGTGAAACCTGGCCCCACCCTATCATGTGATTTCCTGAGGTCAGATGGCCCAGGATGTGAGTGGGCATTAAGGCGTCTGGGAAGGGATCTCAAAACTGGATTATAGATGGCAGACAGTTGGTGTCGTAAACCACCACCTCTGTTCAAAGATGGTCGCTCACAGTGGAAATAAATGGCTTCTTTTACTCCTCTTTCACAACATCTGTTTTCTCTGTCCAAAATGTGAACATTTGCATCCTCGATGTCCTTTAGATGCAGATGGACCGCCAAGTCTTGTCCCGTGGAGGTGGCTCTTCTGTGCCATGCGTTTATGAAGTGGCTGTTTGGTCTCTCCAATGCCGCGGTCTGGACATTCCTCGCTGCACTGTACAGCATACACTACATTATTAAGTTTGTGTTTAGGATTTTTGTCTTTGGGATGAACCAGTTTCTGTCTAAGTGTGTTGCTGGGTCTGAAGTAAACTGAGATGTCGGGCTTGGAGAAGACTCTCCTGAGTTTTTCCCGATACACCAGCTTCATAGGGGATGACAATGTTATTGCGTTTGTCTTTCTTATCCTCCCTCGCTGGTGTCTGATCTTCTTTCCTGTGCATCTTTGCTGACTTGATGAAAGCCCAATTAGGATAACCGCATGTTTTGAGAGCTTCCTTTACATGTGTGTGTTCCTTCTTTATCCCTCCAGGCTTAGAGGGAACATTATCTGCCCGATAATGTAGGGTCCTGATTACTCTTAAGTTTGTGTTCCAGAGGGTGGTGGGAGTCAAAGAGGAGGTACTGGTCCATGTGTGTGGGCTTCTGGTAAACTTCAGTGTTGAGGTTTCCATTCTCTTCAATGCGCATGGCACAGTCCAGGAAAGGCAAACGGTTATCCTTTGTGTCTTCCCTGGGAAACTTGGTATTTTTATCCACAGCGTTAATGTGAGCAGTGAAGGATTCCACTTCTTGATTTTGACCCAGGTGTCGTCTACATATCTGTACCAGTGGCTGGGTACTCTTCCTTTGAAAGAGCCAAGAGCCTTCCTTTCCACTTCCTCTATGTAAATGTTGGCTACAATAGGTGACACCAGGGAGCCCATGGCACAGCCATGTTTTTGTCTGAAACCCTTGTTGTATTTGAAATATGTGGTGGCCTCCATAAACTATATTACATTATTTAGTAACTATGGGTTGTACTTTAGCCAAATAAATGGCCAAACTGAACCATGAACTCCTATTTTAAGCATTGGTGTGTTTATTTTTTATTAAAGGCATGCCCATGCAAGTTAGAAGGTTGACACAAAGCCCATCTGAGGCAGTGCCTTGCCCAAGGCCATCTCAACAGTTGTTTCATTTTACCTGCATTAAGGTTCATTACATTTGAACAGATAGCCACATGGGCAACAGCTTGCCTCCATGCTCATCTTTCTATTGAAGAACACCTCTTCCACCCTTGTGGTCAACACCGGTGCCCCTCAGGGGTGTGTTCTGAGCCCTCTGCTATACACTCTCT